GTTTTTCAAAGACAGTTTAAATATGGAAATGTTCTGCAATGGAATTTACTAAATGGTGTAGAGCAGAAGCTCTAAACAGAAATTTTGCAGTGATATCAATAGTTAGGCATGAAGGGTTTCATGCTGAGGATGGATCAGAGGAGTGTGGAAAGGATGTGCAAGTGACTGACAGACTGCAGGAAGCCAATAGCAGGACATACAACAGAGAGGGTCTTCACTGAAATTCAGGTAGTTCTTAGAGTAAGTGTGAAGTTAAAGTTGGGTTCTGATTGCTTCCTTGAGGTGATCAACACCAGCTCTGGCAACAATCAGTATTTCACATCCTTGTCAACCCATGAATTTTCTGTTCCATACTTGAGATCTAATTTGGATTATCTCTAATTATGCCGCAGTGTCATGAAGGTAAAATGTGGGGTTTTTTTGTACCAAGGATCAAACTCATGACCTATGCTTTCCAGGCAGGTGTTCATGCCACTGAGCTAAATACCCAACTATGAAAGTGTTTTCTTTGTTGTATGGAAGATATCCACATTGTTTCTCAGAAAGTGTTGAATATTGTTGGAATTTTTCCATATTATATGGCTATAATTTTTAAAAACAAACCAAAGGTGTCTTATGCAGTCTCTTTTCAAGATTCACTTTGTCTGTGGGGTGTCACAGTCAGGGTTTCTCTATTTTAGCCAGCTCTGTAACTTAGTATAACTCCAAATTCAAGGAAGAAGTCCTTCACCAGCCTCACAAGATATATTCCTTATATCTGAATTGAAAGTGAACACTTGGTGACAGTGAGCTATAAATTACAGCTTGGGCCTGGTTCCATTTTATATACTTATTTTTTAAAAACACCATTTTCTGCTAACATTTAAGTTATTATTTGTGTACCATATTGGGTGTTATTTATGTTTTGTTCTATGAAACCAAATTCATGTTTCAAAATGCTGCTGAAGTATATTAAAAACAAAGTACTCACTGGGCTAAATGAGATTTGAAGAGACATTATCTGCAGCCTATCAAAGTAATTGATGAGTTTTTTTTTTCTTTTTTTACATTTTGAAAGTGGTAAAATAAAACAGAACAAGGCAGAATAAGGCCAACTAAGATCAAACAGTGAAATTGGTACACAACTTCACAACTGGTTACTGCAATAACAGTAATAGGTATCACAGTATATTTTATTATCTTTATAATAGATGTTCTTTCTTTCATTCTTTTTTTTTTTTTGTCTTTTTCCCTTTTATTGGTACCGGGGATCGAACACACGACTGTCTACTTGCAAGGCAGGTGCTTATGCCGCTGAGCTAAATCCCCAGCCCCAATAGTTGTTCTTTCAAACACGTATATCAAAATGAGATGAAATACCAAACATATAAAGTACTTATCAAAACAGAATATTGAATAGAGCAATACCATTAATCAGAAAATAGCAAAACAGAAATAAAAATATTCACCTTCAAAGAGATAGTAGAAGGAAGCCCCCCTTATTTGTTAGGGTCTGTTTCCTAGGAGACACTCAGATTTCTGGTTCCCATTTGCTAATGGGGGTTGACAGGAGAAGAGGGGTAGGGAAGTGGGATGTTTGATTCTATGCCGTGCATCAGTAGGTTCATTATTGCTTAGTAGGGAGACAGGCCGGTTGTTTTGTTTCACAGCGTCCTAGGTTCCCACATGGCATGGATCTCAGGAGCTGCTGCTTGTTCTACCCCTGGAAGGGCAGCATTCTGCCAGACCTCCACCACTTATACCAGGGAGAAGTGGTGCTTGCTTGCCTTCCAAGTATCCTAAATTCCAGCATGGCATGGATCTCAGGAGCTGCTGCTGGTTTGCCCCCTGGATGGGCCACAGTCTACCACACCACCACCACTTACCAGGGAAGAGAGGTGCTTGCTTGGCTTCCCAGTTGATTGAGGGGATATTTATCTGCCTCTGTGCTTTGTGGATGGCGGTCCTGCAGGCTTCTCACTGTGAGCTCTGCATTAAAGACAGTACACAGGGAATATTGCAGTGACTCAGCACAACAATCAGTGCTTCTATTTCACTGTGACATTAGCAGTGAGTTGCAATCTATCATCAAATTTGCTGTCTTCAAAAATGTGTATATATACACAAAATTAATGACCAAGACTTGGATTTAAATTTGAAGAAATCAGTCTTCATTCAGCTGTTTAGTTTGGTTGTATTTGTTTAGTTTTGTTTTGTTTTATTGAGACAAGCTTTCTATATGTATATCAGCTAAATTTGAACACCCTATGGAGCCTAGAATTGCCTTGAACTCACTGAAACCATCATGCCTCAGCCTTTTGAGTGCTGGCATTATAGATATATACCACCACACTTTGCTTTTGATTCAGATTTGTAGAAGAGAATTTAAGATATCCCAAACCTGGCGTCTCAACCTTCATGTGAGAAATATATGTATGATCCTTTAGGAGGTGGTGAGCTTTGAGGATGTGGTCGTGAACTTCAGCAATGAGGAGTGGACTTTGCTGAGTCCATCCCAAAAGAACCTCTACAGAGATGTGATGGGTGAAACCTTTCGGAACATGACTGCAATAGGTAATGACAAAATACTTTTGTCACTCATGCTGTCAGAATGTTGTATATCGCTGTTTCATTAAAAACAATGTGAAAATATTTTTAAAAATAGTTCAGATCTGGACACATTATATCATAACTCTAAACAAAATCTATTAATTTGTATGTATTATTCTAATGAGTGCTGGTATTTCTATGTCTACAATTCAGGAGGACTTGGGAATATCCAGGAAGCTGAAAAAGAATGCAAAATTTACTGGAGATACTTAAGGTAATTCACACTCATAAGGAGAAGGAATGTTCCTGAGTAATTAGTGAATCAGCAGAAAAATACCGCCAAAGAAATGAGGTACCATTCAATTTATTGTCAGTAATATTCTCCAAAGCCGTATAAGCTAAGGTATGTATAATGAGTGGATTAAATCAAGAAAATGTCATACAAGAAAATGTCTTGTATGACATTGCATATAGATGTGTATGAAAGGCATACACTTTCAGTTATGACATTCTCTCTTCAGTTTTTCTACCCATATATACATGTGAATACAACACATTCATCATCTAAAAATTGCTAAGATTGCAAAAGAATTTGAAATAAAATGGAGTTCTTGTGTTTCCAAGCCATGCTCTAAACAATCAGCCATTCTGACTAAAATTCTTAGAAGGCTGGTAGAATGTTAAGTGCACTCATTCTGAATATCATTGTGCAGTTGTCTCTAAAAATTGATCCCCTCATACTTGTCCTGGATATATTTTTAAAAATTCAAAATGCACATAAAATACTGATACATGCTTACTCATATACAAAGCAGATCAAGTTATAATAGATCAGGCCTTGATGAAGCTTAGCTTACCACTGGATTTGTGGAGAAGGAAAATGTTAATAGACTCTTTGTGATTGTGAATTCTTGTAAATCCAGCACACTAGGAGTCAGATTTTGCAGAACTGCAAATTCAAGTTCAAACGTCACAGCTTAATGATCAGCGAAAATCTCATAAAACATATTTTAAAAGCTATACATTTTATGCTAATAGCTGTTGTTCATTCCCAGCATGGAAATGAAAAAAATGTGTTATATAATGTCAAAAAATTAAGAATATAATGTCATTTGCCATAAGAAATAGGTGGTTCTTTCTCCCATCAATTCGGTGAAATAGCTCACCTATGAAAGGTAAAAGTTCACAGGGTTTCTCTTACATGAGAAACCAAAATATAAATTGTGGAATGAAATGAAAGAGTTAATAGAGAAAAGTAAGACTAACCATATGGAAAAGGGAACTACAGGTTAAGGACAGAAGGGAGATTGTGATGGTGAAACATATCATAATGATCTGTGTGTGATACACATAGTGTATCCATGCCCAAAGTGAAGAAAAAGATTCTGCATTTCAAAAGGTACCAAATTTTAAGATTTCCAAATGTGTACCAGTCTTTTGGGAATAGTTGTTTTCAACATGTCTTACAAGGCCATTCTGTTACTTCATGTTCAGAGTTTCTTAGCAGGCATTAAAAACAGAACTTGACATTAATGCAGTCATTAAACTGAGACCCATTTCACTGTGAATGTTTCTTTTTTTATTTAATGTAAGGAAAGACTAAAAAAACCAAAATAAGTAGAAATGATACCACTTTCAAAGTGAAAATAAACAATAAAAAATCTAAAGTCAGTGATTACATATGCTGCTCATAGAAATAGTTAATGAAATACAAAAGTGAAACATATGATGTGGGGATTCAAACAGCGAGACTACAAACATTTTTATTCAAATGTCCAATAAAAACTTAGTAATATGGTTATCAATCCGATATGTTTTTTTTTTGTTGTTTTTTTGGTTTTTTTTTACAGAAATGACAAGATAGGGAAATCCTGTGAACATACATCTTGGAATCAGTGTAAAGAAGTATTCCTTTGTACTGCAGAAGGTAATGTGAATGTTAAAGAAGCAGAAACACACCACAATGTTCAGATCCATGAAAAATATGGCAGTGGGGAGAAATCGTATGTATGTCAGCAATGTGGAAAAGGGTTCACCAAATGTCAACATTGTAAGCAACATGAAATAATTCACACTGGAGTGAAACCAAATGTATGTAAGAAATGTGGGAAAGCTTTTAACACACGTGCATATTGTAAGGTTCATGAAAGAATTCACACTGGAGTGAAACCATATGTATGTAAGCAGTGTGGGAAAGCTTTTAACAGACGGGAACACTGTAAAATACATGAAAGAATTCACACTGGAGAGAAACCCTATGTATGTAAGCAATGTGGGAAAGCTTTTACCCAACATGGAACTTGTAAAGAACATGAAAGAATTCACACTGGAGTGAAACCATATGTATGTAAGAAATGTGGGAAAGCTTTTAACACACGTGCACATTGTAAGGTTCACGAAAGAATTCACACTGGAGTGAAACCATATGTATGTAAGCAGTGTGGGAAAGCTTTTAACAGACGGGAACACTGTAAAATACATGAAAGAATTCACACTGGAGAGAAACCCTATGTATGTAAGCAATGTGGGAAAGCTTTTACCCAACATGGAACTTGTAAGCAACATGAAAGAATTCACACTGGCGAGAAACCATATGTATGTAAGCAATGTGGGAAAGCTTTTACCCGACATGGACTTTGTAAGCAACATGAAAGTATTCACACTGGAGAGAAAACATATGTATGTAAGCAATGTGGGAAAGCTTTTAACACATGGGGAATTTTTAAGAATCATGAAAGAATTCACGCTGGAGAGAAACCCTATGTATGTAAGCAATGTGGGAAAGGTTTTTCCCAACATGGAAATTGTAAGCAACATGAAAAAATTCACACTGGAGAGAAACCATATTTATGTGAGCAATGTGGGAAAGCTTTTAACACACGTACACAATGTAAGGTTCATGAAAGAATTCACACTGGAGTGAAACTATATGTATGTAAGGAATGTGGGAAAGCTTTTAACACATGGGCAAATTGTAAAATACATGAAAGAATTCACACTGGAGAGAAACCCTATGTATGTAAGCAATGTGGGAAAGCTTTTAACACATGGGGAGATTTTAAGAAACATGAAAGAATTCACACTGGAGAGAAACCCTATGTATGTAAGGAATGTGGGAAAGCTTTTAACAGATGGGCAAACTGTAAAATACATGAAAGAATTCACACTGGAGAGAAACCCTATGTATGTAAGCAATGTGGGAAAGCTTTTACCCAACTTGGAACTTGTGAGCAACATGAAAGTTCACACTCAAGGTAGAACCAGTGTATATAAGCATCATGAGAATTTTTTGAGCACAAGTACATATTGCATAATGCATGAAAAACTTCACACTGGGCAGAAAACTTATATATGTAAGGAATGTGGGAAAGGTTTCAGCAGAAATGCTTGTTGTCCAATTCATGAAAAGATTTACAATGTTGAGAAACCCTGTTTATGTGAAGAATGTGGGAAAGCTTTCACCACACATGGATTTTGTAAAATTCATCAATGACTCCACTCTGGTGAGAAAACCTATGTATATAAAAATGTGGCAAAGCTTTTACCACATACAGTCATTGCAAAACATGAAAGAATTCACACTGGGAAGAACCACTGGCTATGTAAGCAAGCGGAGACACTTTCTACAGCCAGATTGTAAGTGAAATACGTGAAGAAGCTCACACAAGAGATAAATCCTATGTGTTATGAAAATACTCTCAGCACACATGATCATTTTTACATATATGAAAGAGTTCACTTTATCCTATGTGCATTACCAATGTGAGAAATATGGCAATCCATGTTTGCTGTTAAATACATAGAAAAAGCAGCACTCTTCAGACAGTTTAAATCTAACTTTACTTTAAAAATTCCAAGTAGACCTGAAGAAATAATCAATACAGAAGTTTTATATCAATATTTCTTTACAAATTTTCCAGAAATGACAAATCTGAAGTGGAGCTCTACTCAAGTACATATTTTGTATGGTTTTCAGTTAATCACTTATACCTCTTTAGATTTTTTAAAGAGTCTTTGTGCTTCAACATGGCATCTTGTAATTAAACATGGTAAACTGAAATGGGCTTTTCACTTTCAAGTATTGATAGTGTCTATGTACTTAAGATTTTGTCTTTAAACCTTAATTTTTATATTTTTGGTGAATTATTTTTATTTAAAGAAAAAAACCAAAAAGTGTAGAAATAACACAGAAGTTCTGAAAAATAAACAGAAAGAAATCTCTAGTTGATTAGTTATATATTATCATCTTAGAATTAATTGTTCAAGTTGCAAAATTAAAGCACACAAACTGATATTCAAATAATGACACTGCAAACACTTCACCTCAGTGATCCAACAAAAACTTATTAATATGCTTATCTGTTCTACAAACTTTTTATCTTAAAGACAGTAAGATTAAATATGACAAAACAGAACAGTTCATAAGGAAACAAGTTAAGGAAACACAGGTTTCAAAGCAAGTCCACTGAGATGTTCATTTTCTATCTTACTGTCTCTAGTTTTCTTCAAAATAGTTGTTCCATCTTCACAAGCCTTTAATATATACTGAACATTATAGAACTAATCAAGTAATTATAGGATGATAAAGGCTTTTTTGATCTTCAAGACTGATTTTGGGGAAGTTGATAATGATTACCATAATGTGTCTCATTCTCTTCATAGTAGACGTCTTTATTTTTATGTATGCTTAAATTGAACATAAGAGAGTAAACTAATATCACCCTGAACAGTGAATAATAGTATCCTGAGAAGGAGAAAGTTGAGGAATTGCCTAAAAAAAGAAGGCAGAGCACATTGTGAAAAGTGTTTAGGATTTAAAAGCTACAGTAGTTCTGTTGCTCTGTTTAGTTTGATTATATTTTGTTGTGGTCTGTCTACTCATATTAGATTTGAGGGCACAGAGAGATAACCCAAAAATGGCAGGTTATACCATGATGGTAATTGTCCTTAATTTCCTATTATCTAACACTGAAACCCTGTATTACTAACATTGTCTTACTATGACTGATCTTATTTTAAGCTGGTTTGTTTGAATGTTATTTGGCCTTGACTGATTTTATTCACATTTGGTATGATTGCTGGTATTAAGTCCAAGAGTAGAGGCAACTACTCTGAAGATGATAAGATGTGACAGATATATATTGGGGGTCTGGGGATTTAGCTCTATGGCTTAAGCCCCTGCCTGGCAAGTGTGAGCTTTCCAGTTTGATCCCCAGTACCAAAAAAAATTAAATAAATAAAAGATATAAATTCCAGGTTTAATTTTTTTATTTAAAGAGAAAAAAAAGAACATAAAAAAACAAAGCAGTAAAAGGGTACAAATAATACAGAATTTCAAGAAAAAAAATACAGTAAGAAATCACTAGTTAATAGGTTATATATTGTCTTCTTTGAAACAGTTGTCCAAATTATAAAATTAAAGCATCTAAAGTGAACATTCCTACAGCGAGATTGCAGACAGTTCTGTTCAATGATCCAACAAAAGCTCAGTAATATGGTTTTCCTTCCTACACACTCAAACAGGCACTTATATCCTTTAGACCACCTTCGTTTCCTCGCTTCTTCACAATAACAATTACACTTTTGAGTTTTTTTTACTCCCATAGTTCTTATTACTTTTTTTTGAAGAGAATAAAACCTCAAATGAGTTAACAAAACAAAGTTGGTTAGAACATAAGGATGGGCATAGTACTTGATGCAAAAATAGAATATCAGCTGACCAAAAATGGTTACCATTGTGCCTTTTGCTATTTTTAAAAAGAGTTGCTATATCATCAGGTATAATAGAATTGATCAAAACAGTAGAGAACAAGACCAATAAAATCTACACTGGAGACCTTACAGAATTTCAAAAGAAGATAATAGTCAAACCATACTGGGCATCATAGTAAATCTTATTGCCTACAAAGTGATTGCCTATACTCTCAAACTTGATAGTATCAAACAAAATAGAATATAGTAAAATCAGGCAGAACAAGATGGGGAGAGCAATACTGGGGTTCAAATGCGGTTAATAGGAAAACAAATATTTACTATAATATATCCCGCTATTTTTTAATTTAGTTTTCCTTTAATAGAAAAAAAAATAAAAAATACAATAATTTTTTTAAAAAAGGGTGGATATTGAGATAAACAAAATAGAATATAGTAAAATCAGGCAGAACAAGATGGGGAAGCAATACTGGGGTTCAAATCCGGTTAATAGGAAAACAAATAGTTACTATAATATATCCCACTATTTTTTAATTTAGTTTTCCTTTAATAGAAAAAAAATTAAAAGTAGAATAATTTTTTTCAAAAAGGGTGGATATCGAGATAAAAAAGAAATTGTAATAGAACAACACAGGTCAGAACTGAACAATTAAAGCATCATTTTGTTTCACCACCAGATAACCTAACATAATAGTAGTCACCATAGTGCCTCTTTCCTTGAATTGTTTGAGTATAACTTCGTATAATATAGAATCAATCATATCAAGACAGTGTGAAGCCATTCAAGGGTATGAAAGAATTACAGGGTATTTAGAGCCAGTTAACAGAAAATGAACAACGATTTCTATATTATCTCTTTGCCTGTAAAAATTTTTATTTATACTATCACATACAGTAAAATATATTAAGACACAACATGTTAAAACCAGTGGAAATATGTACAACAGCTTGATGGGAGTTCCAAAGAAGATGATATTAAATCAGCACTAGCTTTTATGATGTGTTATTTTCTTCAGAATGGCTATTCATACTATCCTTGATACTAAAATTGAGTAAACCAGGATAAAACCATTGCACTTAATGAGTAAAAACATTATATGGATTCAAACCAACATGATTGGGTATCATGATTACCACATACTTCTATGTATTATCATTTTTTATACTAGGGAATATATTCAGTATTTATACATTTGAGTTTGATTTATTTCACTTCTGAATATGGTCTCAAGCTGTGTCCATTTATTTATATGACAATGTGATCATTCTTTATAGCTGAGTAGTACTCCATTGTATAAAAACACCATAAATTTTTTATCCATTCCTCAGTTGATGGACACTTAGGTTGTTTCCAAGGTCTGGATATTACAAACTATGCTGCTATAAAAATGGGTGCACATATATCACTATGGAATGATGCTTTCAGTTCTGTGAATATGCCTAGAAGTAGAATAGCTGGGTCGAAAGGTGCTTCCAGTCCCAGCTTTCTGGAAATCTCCAGACTGACCTCAACAATGGTTGCACCAGTCTACACTCCCATGAACAGTGCAAGAGAGTTCCTTTTTCCCAACAGTGTCTCCAACATTTGTTGTTGTTGGTTTTCTTGATTTTGGCCATTCTTTCTGGAGTGAGATAAAATCTCAGTGTGGTTTTAATTTGTATTTCTCTAATGACCATTGATGGTGAACGTTTTTTCATGTATTTATTTGTCATTTGTATTTCTTCATCTCAAAATTGTTTATTTATTTCAGATGCTCATTTTTGGATTGGGTCTTTGAATTTTGGTGATCTCCTTTTTAAAAATGCTTTATATGTTTTAGATAGAAGTCCTCTGTCTGAGGGGCAGTTCACTAAGATTTTTTTCCAGTTTGTGGGTTTTCTTTTCACTATACTGGAGATTCCTTTTGATGTGCAGAAACTTTTTAATAAGAGGTGATCCCAATGATTGATTCTGGGAAGCATTTCCCATGCGGTTTGAGTCCTGTTCATCAATTCTCTACCTACTCCTAGTCTTCAAGGTTTTTACCCAATTTGTCTTCCAATAGATTTAGTGTTTCTGTTTTAATATTTAGATCTTTGATCCATTTAGATTTTATTTTAGTACATGGTGATAGGTATGGGTCTAGTTTTAGTTTTAGGCATATGGAGAGCCACTTTTTCACCACCATTTATTAAAGAGAATGTCATTCTTCCAGTGAACATGTTTGGCCCCTTTATCAAAGATAAGGGAGTTGAGTGTGTTTGTAGTGGTGGTTGTATCTTCTCATCTATTCCACTGATCTTCAGCTCTGTTTCAATTCCAGTACCATGTTGATTGTACTACAGTTGCTTTGTAGTATAACTTCAAGTCAGGGATTGTGGTACCTCCTGCCTTGCTTTTGCTGCTTCTAATTGTCCTTGCTATTCTAGGTTTCTTCTCATTCCAGATGAATTTTAGGGGTGATTTCTCAAGTTCTATGAGGTATGTTGATGGTATTTTTATCGGGATTGCATTGCATCTGAATAAAAGTTTTG